CTCGTTTAATATAACATGTTCTATAACCCTATAGTGGTAAGTTTACAAACTTACAATGCTAAAACCCGGGGTTTAATTCCCGCAGTAGACACAGCAGATAGACAAGTGTGGCATATAATTCGGACGGTAAATACACTCGAGACTCCCTGGCTGAATCTGATGCCTTATATGATATTGGGCACCGGAATCTGCCGATCAGCTCCGAGTGATGATAATTAAGTTTTAGACAGAGAATTACATACATGCTTGTTATAAGAAAGATAAAAAAAAGCTAATGTTTGTGGACTTTTATAACACAAGAGGAATTAACGTACAACGTTATTAATACTAAACATTATATTACTACCGATTAATTTGTAAACTTATATTATGAATGAAACTCGATTTAACTTGTGGCAATCTCTGATAAGCGTTTTGATTATTCCTGGTCAGTCACCTGTACTTCTGGTTCCCAATATCCGAAGCAACGTGTAATTTTCAATGTCATCTGGCAAAGTTTTTTTTTTTCACCCAATGGTCCATAAAAAATGCCCCCCTCCCAATTATAAAGAAAAAATTTCATAAGTTGTCCAAATAATATTTCATTTTCTACGGTTCTATTATAATACAGCAAGCTTCTGTTAAGTTTTAACAACGTTACCAAGAGAAATAAAAAAAGAATGGGGGCTATAAGCTTAATCCAACTTATTTTTTTTATTCGTTTTTAAGCATAAAGCTATACGATGAGCTATATGTGCTGTGCCAACCACGGGTATCGAAAACCTTTTTTACTGTTATAAGCCTTCAAACTTACTGCTGAGCCACTGGGGGGGCTGCCAGGTTGAATAAAATCACTACTTATTTCTTTGTGGAACATTCACTGTGTATGGATAGGATGATAAACGAGAAGTGTATAATTCATAAAGTCGAGTTTGTAAGATACTGTAAGCTTTGTTTTAATGTTATGATTTGTTAGTTAGTTAGAGGAAGCTGATGATGTAATAATCAGAAGACTTGGCGAAATATCTAGAGCAAACATAGATAATAAGTACGAGATAGTTATTAAGTGTATTCTGAAGATAGACAGTTGAACTAGCATGTTTTCGTGAACTATTTAGATCTGTGTTAGCTATCGCTCTTATTGTATTACTTTGAACAAGTAAGTTGATTTTACGTTAGTTGTAGTATTTCTAGAGAAATTTCAACGTCATTCGTAACGAGACCCCCCCCAATAGCCGCCATCAACACAGTTACACTTAACCCATTAGCGAAGTTGATAGTCATAGTTATAACCCCCCTTCCCCCACAACTGAATAAGCAGAGCATATTCAACAGCATATCACTGCTCGAACCTTGGGG